ATCGCAATCACAAGAGTCGATGAAAGCTTCACACCCTCATCAACTGGTTTGTCATACCTAATAAATACCATCTGCCTAACCTCAGCATCGTACTGTCAGTGGTTCAAACATATTCAAACAATGCTTAGAAGAAACTCTTGATGAAATACTAGTAACTTATCGAAATTCCCTATTTTTTATAAGTTACTTCCCATGGTGATAAAATAAGACAGAGCAAACTGGTACGCAGTAAACTCGTTCTTTAGTTTCCAAACGAAATTCTCTCTTAGAATACAAGAGATGAAATTTAGCAAAAGTCAGCTAGGCTTCCCGAATTCGTTCCGAGATCTTGCCAGGTGACAGTTTAGTAGAACTGATGAGGCTTTCAAGATAAATGAAGTCTTTGTGGCATTCACCTACTTCGCTTCATACCCTAAAATGGACGTGCTGACGCAAATAAGTTCCGGAGCAGGATTTTACATTTATTTGGAGGGAATCTTACCCTAATCATTGTTTCTTAATGCCGTTAGAAAATTTTCTCAGTGTCTTCAGGCAAAGACAGCATTTATGTTTACGAAAAAGTTAAATAAAGATAGACAAACCGGATAACCTCAATGGACATATTTTACAGTTAACAATTCTTCATATGATCTTACCTTACCACTAGTTTTCATGTGAAGAGCCTGTACAAAGTTAATGTACTTCGATAGTACACTGTTCAGTAACAAACACTTCTATAAAACCTATCGATCAACAATTCATTTGATTGCACACTTTTGTATTTCACCGTTGCTCATATTAATGAGTATAGCTGAATAATCATTGTTTTAATGTGTACATTTTGGTGAGATTGCCTCAATAATACTTTTAATTATAAGTTTGAATAAAACTGGATTATGGTGTAGCAATAGAATTTATAAACCTCTTACTGTCCTATTTGTAACTCTTCAACTGTATGTATTTTCATCTCACTGTCGATATCCACATTGAATTTCAAGCCCAATACTTATTTCTGCAAAGACTAACTCCTTACTCACTAAGTTATGAAATCCATATAGACACTAAATTGTCTAACTGCTAGTTACAACACAGCTTGACCGAAAATTGTGAATAATTGAGAGGATGAACATTATTTCATTGAAACTGATTAGTTGTGATCCTTTAAATCAACAACGGGAAAATACAAATAGCTTACTACCTGTTAGACAATTTGATAAGCATCATAATTTAGTAAGTTATTGGATAAGAGGGCATTCAAAGTAATAAATACCAGGCTTCAATTCCAGTTTGAACATCAACTTTGGACTGCAACTACATTTGGCGGATAAGTCTCAGACAAAACTAAATTCACAGCTTAGATTCAACTGCTTAAAATGATCTGAATTTAAGAAATAGATTGTAACCTAATGTAATTATTGTCTCGCTAAAATAGTTCAAAGAAATATTTCATTTTATACACGAATTTCTTACTTTATCCATAATAAAAATAAAACCATGATTGTACTTATGTGATGTGTGCTACTGATATCGACAGATATAAGTAGTATGTATCATAAAGTGAAATGCATGGATGTAGAAGGTTAAGAAGATCGAACAGGGAAAAATTAATGTGGAAACAAAGGAACAATCAAACCTGAAGCTATTGATTGACATTATGCTAATGAAGCATTTACTTTATGATTCTCAGATTTTATTAAGTGATCCTGTAATTTTGAGTTCGATTACGCTTGGTTGTCTCCGCTGGTGTTCTCGTTTACTAAACTTCAATTGGAATTCTAAGTAAGGGTCATTTCACTTTTAAGGTATTTTGAATATATGGTCAAAGATGTTAATAATACCTTATAGCATAAATTGTTTAGCTTTTGTTTCGATTATATATCCAAGTTGGATTTAAGAGCAACCAGAAGCGTGAGTTAAGGTTTGAAACTAAGGATATATCGATCTTATTATAGGACCTATAAATCCCATGTTTGATGGGATATGAAGTCTTGAGTGCACGTTACTAGAAGGTCTCATCTGTTAACGAAATCTCTTATTACTGAAACGAGGCTTCCAAATTGTTTTCCAGCTGATATCAGTTCATTGTGACAAATTACCTCAAATTAAACCCTCAACCTTGATTATTGGGTACTTTTAACCAAGTGGTTTATTATTGTTAAAGTCTTCTTTGTTATGTAGAATCAAAAGTATCGATAAAACATTAAAATTGATGGTACATAGGTCTTCATATGATGAGGAAGAATTAAGTCTAACAGTTATGGTTTAATTCATTGGGGAACAAGTAGTCAACAAAGCCGATATCCTTCAATCATTCACCACACTTAATCATATTATTTTCCCGTCAATAGTTTGTATATAAGTATGCTATTTTATGGGCTAGAAGACCTATTCATCTAGCTAACGATCTTGTTTTTGGTAATAACTCCTTCGCGATTTGATTTAATAATACAATCTCATGAACAGCTATCACTTAACCAAATCGTATCATTGGGATTCATTCGTCAGTTAGTAGTCTATCTGTTCACATTTCAATAATCCAAAACGCATTCGTTAATGTAGTTCTCTCCAGTTTAAACTACTTGACTTCAAAAGGTTCACGTCAATAACCTTTTATGTTTATCACAACACTTATTTTGTTAATAAACGTAATATATAACCTTATTATTATGATCAGTATTGATAATTACAACTGATATCAAACTTGAATTCATGAGTCAATTGTATCTAGACCACCATGGAAGACTTGGAAGCATTGGACGGCCGTTTCATTCTAGTATGGGACTCCTCAACAGTGCGTATCCACGATCCTGCTCATGGGAGTAGAACCCAGGACCTATCGGTCTCGAGCGCTAACGCGAGTTAGGATTTAAACACTTACTGTAAGTGAGAGATATTCATAGTTGATTTTATGCCCAATTTTTGTTTAAAAATTAGTTTTTTTTCTGTTAAACATGTTAATAACAGTGTTAATCACAAGATATCAATTTAAATGGTAAGTGATATTAGAATTTTCACTGGTTGAAATCATGAGTCAGTTGAAGCTAAACCACCACTGGACGGCCGTCCCGTCCTAGTATGGGACTCCATACACCATTGTTTTCAGTGAGTTGATATCTGACAACCGACCTGGTTGAACTCCACGAGTAACGGCTTCTCACTAGAACTCCAGGAGTGGCTTCAAGAGATAATCCTAGTATGGGACTCCTCAGCAGTGCGCATCTACGATCCCATCCCGGCTCAGTAGTATAGTTGGTTAAGCGCCTAGCGCGAGACTGATAGGTTCTAGGTTCGAATCTCGCGGGGGGAGGGATCGTAGGTGCTGCTAAGGAGTCCCATACTGGGACAAAACGGCCGTCCAGTGCATCCAAGTTTTCCATGGTGATCTAGCTTCAATTGACTCATGATTTCAACTAGTGAAATTTCTAAAATCTCCACAAAACCCATTCTGATATTAGAATTGTTTCCTTCCACTGCTAAGATACTTGTAATTGAATAATATGCAATGAAGCAATTTATTAACTTGTTCAGTTTGAATTTATGAAGTTGAATTCTTGGAGGTATTTGATAGGAAACCCTGCGACTAGATGTCATGTCAGTTAGCACTGATTGATTAAGGCTCACCTTATAGTCTTCAAGGCACTGATATTCCATGTTAATTTAAATCCACAATACTAAGATACACAATCCAAGAAATCATGATTGAATTATTCGGTCCGCTACTTACTTAATGAAAGACCGAGATATTTACACTGATTGGTTAATGAGTATCGATTAGTATCATGTTTGTCCTATCCTTAGTGCAAACTATGGGGCTTTTCCAAATCGTATTTTTAGATCACTTATTTCAAACGTTATATTTACAAATGATATGAAGCAGCATATTAAAATGTAATTTAGAAATTATTCAAAGTAAGCACTAGTAAGTTGTCAATCGTAAATGTCAAGTCTGAATGATACCTAAGACAGATTTAATGTTATGAATGGTCTTAAGTTAAGTAACGATTGGAAATCATGAGACACTGGATAGTTATTTCATTCTAGTATGAGCTTTATGAGTAGTCTGTAACCTTAACCATATCAGGGATCTGAAATAAGGACCTCAATTTACATCATAAACAAATTGACTTTATATCATTAAAATGATAAATAATAGTTTACGATTTTAACTTCAATCAATTCACGGCTTGCTTTAAGTAATTAATCGGAGTCAACCAAACAGCTCTACTGGCCAGGCATGTTTTCAGCGTATATCCACATAAATAGAACCCAAATTACTAGTCAATGAGCATCCATTTGAATGAGCTCCTTTTTATAGTGTAGGTCATGGAACATCAAGCTACAGTTCATTGACTACTCAATCGCTAATAGCACGTGAAGCTATCGTTTTTGTCTGTAGAATTATCATATAAAGTATAAGAAGCGTTGAAACCATAGATATTCCCCGATCTCTAGAATCGATAGGGTCTTTAGTCTCCCTAATGCTGCTCTCAACATCTTAAGGCATTGTCGTATGGATGCTTCTTAAACTTTTTTTACTACAGATTTAATTTTGTTTAGACAAACCCCTCTATAAACAGAAGTTCTTGAACTGTAGTTTATAATTATCTTGATGTAGTCCCAGGTCATTACTAACATCATTTTAAATTGCACAATCCACACAAGAATAAACATTCCTATAATTGTGTTTGAATACTCTTGTTATAAAAATCATTATTGACATTCAAAACAAAGATGGATGGTGGTTAGCATTGGGAACCAGGATGTGCGTTTCGCCCTTTTTAGGACTTTGTAGTTGGATGTACCTACATATAAGAGTTGATATTCACTCCAGCACTCGAACCTAGTATCGTTCTCTTCAAACATCATCCTATTATGCACTAAAGTTGTGCAATGGCGGGGAGGGGAGGAAACCTTTAATTCATTGATGTTTAAGACCACAGTCGATCAATCTCTTATTGACATAATATAAGCGATAATACTAGTTGATTATTAAGAAAACAAAGAATATATATATAACTTACCAAATGTACTAATGTAACGAATGCTTGTCTAACATGAAGACCAGTTTTTGCACTAGTTTCCAAATATACACAATTAATACTTTTAGCATATTCTTCAGCTTTTTGTATAGATATAGCACGTGCTGGCTATAATAAGAATGATTATTTTGTTTTTAGAAAGAATAAATAGAATTGAATAAATACCTACTAAATCATTTTTATTACCAATAATCACTTTAACTAATCTACTACCAGAATATTGTTCAATCATTTTAACCCATGTGTTTAATTCTTCAAAACTTTTTTGACAACCAACATCATAAACTGAAAAAGAAAAAGAAATAGTTAAGGTCGATTGTTACTTTGTCATGATAAAAAAAAGTGATAAATGTTTTTGGTGAGATCTATAATTTATGGACGATCTTTAAATGATACCAAAATGAGTTTGCCCCCCTCCCAAATGCCCTGGTACAGACGAGAATGAAGAGAATCAGCTCTCCTTCTCCAAATGCTCTCACATAGTCACGTGCATACAACCACTGCCACAGAAGTTCTACTCACTACCTTCTCGACTCAAAGGTGTTGTTTACGAAGTTGAAAGGAGGAAAAGTGAATGTCCGGCGCTTTAACCAGGTTGGTGGACACGGCAAGTTCACCTAGGAAAGTTGAAAAACCCTCATTCCAAACCAATGGTGCACATGGGCTGGCCCCAGTATCTTGAGAGAAAAAATGGCGTATGAACCAATTGTTGGTCACTGGCTACCATGTGACTGCATCTCCTAATGTCATGATACTATTCAATCAAATAAGTGAGTGAATTTCGCGCCAAAATCCAATACCCTTTTATCTTAAATTTGATTGGTTCATTCATACATTATAATCTAATCATATTTCTTGATACCTTTCTATACTTACCTACTAAAGCACCTTGTGCATGACGAAAATATGAAGGAGACATATGATTTTTAAATCTTTCTGTACCAGCTGTATCCTTAATTATATTTAATTGAATACAAAAGAAAAATGTATTTACCCAAATGTAAAGTTTAATTAATTCACCATTCAATCTCATTTCATATAATTTTAAATCGGTACCAATTGTAGAGACTGGTTCATTTTCATCAGATCCTTTAGTGAATGATTTTAATAAACTAAACAATTAATAAGTAGTATTTATAAGTAGTATGAATTGAAAAGATAAACAAACCTTGATTTGCCAACATTTGAATTACCCACCAAAATAATTTTAATTCGTTTACTTATATTATTACATTCATTAGTACCATCTAAATCAACAACGTTTGATTCCATTCTATGCTAAAATATAAATAAAATAATGATTGATAAATACTTTAAGAATATACAATTGTATGAATGAAGAATATTCTTTTCAATAATTTCTCATCAAGTTCCACAGTTAGAAATCCAAATTCATGCAGGTAAACTACTAGTAATGTTCTCCACACGATCAATAATCACTCTCAGGTTGAAAGATAAATTGTCTAGACTAGCCGCCTCTTTCTGTATCTATCAATTCAACGGCTCTTGTGGAGCAAGTTATATTTGCAGATGTTTTAGGAATTTATACATTCGGGCTCGTCAGCACCTCCCGTGTGGTTATGCAAAGGTGTAGTCAAACGTTAAACAGCTCCATTTTAGACCGTCTAATTCAAACAAGACATACAGCCAACATGGAGCAATCTTTTGCAATAATCTATCGTGTTAACAGCAGTCTACCTAATTCCGTCAGACTGCGAATCCTATAGACAGCTGAAGCAATTGCTATTCGGATCAAAAAGCCAGAACTTTACATCCAAAAGAAATATGTCTAGCCACTCCTTTTATCACGGCCAACTTTGGGTCCAACTAGTTAATAATCAATTTCATAATATGGTGACGTAATTTGATTAATGTTCATTTTATGTCCCAAACTTATCTTACTATTATTACTGTTACTATTATTATTATCATTACACTTGATAACCTTTTTGAGGAGTTCATTCAGTATCCACCTCTAAATCTACTACATCTGGCCTAATTCATATTATTCTACTTATTACGTAATCTCTGATTTCTATTCCATTACTCTCTCTCCCATCCCATGTTGACCATATTTATTTTGATCATTTATCGCACAATTTCATTTCACTTATAAACTGATTCAAGTTAACAACTTCATATTAGTCAACCCCAACATTAACGATCTGATTTGATAACAAACAACAATTCTTAATTCATATAATACAATTTCCAAATGATGTACTCTGCCTTAAATCTGGTCAATTTTATGGATTATTAATTTGGATTTGTAATTGTAGATATTAGATGGGTTTTGTGGAGATTGTAGTAATCTCAATGGTTAAAATCATGAGTCAGTTGAAGCTAGACCACCATGGAAAACCTGGAAGCACTGGACGGCCGCCTCGTCCTATTGTGAAACTCCTCAGCAGTGCGCATCCACGACCTCGCCTCCTGAGGGACTCGAACCCAGGACCTAATGGTTTCGCGCGCGAGCACTTAACCACTAGACCACTGAGCCGGCATCCAACGGTGTTAATGTCTAACTTCAACTAATCCACGAAATTGAGCGACACATTCACCATTGTCTTCGGTGAGTTACTAACTCACAAATAACTCGGTTAAACTGCACTGGTCACTACTTCTCACCAGAACTCCAGGATATACCTCGTCAAGCCAGTCACTAGTGAGCATATGTTGATTAATATCAGATTGATTAATATCAAGATCTTAACCATAGAAATTGTAGATATACGTGATGAGAAATTATTGAAAAGAAATTCTTCGTTCATACAATTGTGTTTTAATATAATGAGAACTTTAAGAATAGAAGTCATCAAAATCTTACTACTGTATTTCTACTCTTACTGTTACCTTTTGAATAAGTTTGTAGCTATATGAATTGAGTAATTCAAGGAATAATAAGATGAAATGAGAGCATTGATTCGAATAGTGATCACAATCTATCTATTATATATAACTAATGATAAAGTAGTTATGTTAGAGGTAATCCGCACAATATGTATATATCCATTCAAATTCATAGAAAAAAAGTAGTAAAACAACTTCATAGGATGAGTGATTACGTACTTACTTGCCTGTTACCTCTTGAGGAAGAACATGGGTCATCAACTAGCACTTTCTATCAAACCCTGTCCTGAGCAAAACTTTCTAATTGCTTCCAGTTGCTATTCGTTCTTTTCATGTCTGATTGATAGAGACAAGTCAGAAGTAATGCTAAGCTGATGCTATAGTCATTTTCACCGATGTCAACCAACAAGAAGTGGGTCTCTTTAACTTAGAAATATTTCACAACTGAGGTAATGAAATCGGTTAAAACATAGAATTTGTAGCTAGTCTAACAGTTTCTCAAGAACCATTACCAGTTGTACACTGATACCATTGTAGCCAATTACCCCATTTCATTGTGTGCTGAAATATTCACCTTGAAGGTTGGTCTGTTAATCCTTCTCATAACCATGAATCATTCTAGAAACAATTTCAGATTATATGTTAAATCTTTGCTACTGAATAGGACGAAGAGTTATCGTGAAGAACTCGCGAGGCAAAAACAATATGAGGAATTCATGAAGAGAAACCATTATCAAGTTTAACACTGTCACATTACCGACTCAACTATTATTCAGTGAATTACTAACAACGTGATTTGTTAGATAACTCACTGTTTGACATAGTGAACAGAATCGAAACTCACTGATTTACATGTGTCGACATTCAATATGTAACAATGACACTGTCATTGCCAGTCTGATGAGGACGGAAAGTAATTGTTCTCAATAGTTTTGAACGTTTATACGAAGTATAGAAGTGTATTTCCATTGCCCTTTCCACATAATGTGAGATAAATTTATTCGGTTTTAAATTATGTGGCAAAAGTAGGAATTAGTTCCGTAATCCTTATTGACTCATCCCTACACTATAGTTTGAGTATAGAAGATTTGTAATTATTGTTCATCTAAATGACAGTGTTTCCCAAGTGTAATTTAAATGAATTCGTTTCCTTTATTGGACTCCTCAGTACTATCAACGTCTCTCTTAATTTTACCATCGAACAGAGATGTTTTAAATCAATAGTCGATTAAAAGTGGTGAGGAATGGTGAATTAATATCTCATGTCTGAAGTGAGTCAATTCACTACATAACACGAACATCATCCATTGCTAATGGCAATATTCATTTCACTGCTTACATGATTGAATTTAATCCGCCACGACTTCACACTAAAATTCCTATAATCTCGCACAAACGCCCAATCCAGAAATGAAGCGAAACATTTATCACCAAATCTTCTATACTCGTCTATTGTGTGGTTAAATATCTGAGTTACAGAATTCGGTGGGTTTGTTGTGAGGATAGTACAGATGAGGAACTGAACAGATCAAGGTTTATGACTGTACAGAATAGATATCTTAGTAATTTCGTCCGTTTGCCGGACATCACGAATAATAATCTCCTGTGATAGAGATTAACAAAGAAGCATGCATTTGAGAAGGAAAGTAGGAAGAGAAGATGGGAGTGGATAGGTTAAGCTTCAGGGAAATCGTCAAACTGTATGATAAAGTAAGTGTTATTTTGAATTGCTAAGGTAAGAGGAGAAGAAGTAGATTAAGTAAAACCTTGTGTTGCGAATCGGAGACAGCGATTAAAGAATGAATAGTAATTTGGCAAGAACATGCAAGGAATTCTCTTGATAGTTTTGTTTTGTGATCGCTCGTCAGCGACCTATGTTCCACGAGGTCTGACAGAACTTCATAATGCAATACATAACTGTATCGAAAACTAAGACATGAACGTCCGCAGCCGAAAGGAAAACTCTGTACTTAAGACTTAATTTCAAATGTGATATTGTGAGTAAGATTTTAACATAGTGTATAAACTGGTTTATTAAGACCACATTCAATGCCGCTAAATCCCACACAATGTCTTCAATAAAACCACCATTTTGACTCAGCAATTTAAGAATAAGATACCAACGATGCATTGATCTAAGTGTGTTCATGAATTTAATCGTTCATTTGCAGCCAATTACGGTAATCCCACTCAAAGTTTCTTAATCTTATTCACTTGCAAACGCTTGATAGCATTGTTAGAAAAAGTAAACACTAAATCTATTAACCGTTCCATTCTTCCTAGACTAATTGATCATAAACAAAACATCAGAGTTGAAAAATTCTTTCACATTTATCCATCAAGTTCCTAGCAATCTATTGAAAAGGCGCAATCTTAAACTTACTCTACATTACTGAAGCAATTTATGTTAATTTGGAGAAAAGCTAACTTTTGTATTACAATAAAAAGATACGTATAATCTGTTTGTTTACTTTGACCTGGATTAGAGACGTTTCATTCTTAGTTCCAAGTTTGTTCATTCTCCTTCATTATGATTTGCACTGTTTTCCATGACGTTTGTTTTTTAACTTGAATTGTATATCCTTGTTTCTTACTTTACATGATATGTTTACCAATTATTAATTTTATTACCATTATTATTATTATCCATAACAGCTACAGCATAATTTTAATGTACTGAAATAGTAACTTTAATCAGAAATAGGCTTTGTAGAGATCTTAGTAATTTAATAGTTGAATTCATGAGTTAATTAAAGCTAGATCACAATGGGAAATCTGGAATCACTAGACGGCTTCACGAGATTCGAACCCAGGACCTATCGGTCTCGTGTGCGGACGCTTAACCTCTAAACCACTGAGTCGGCATGCAACGGTGGCCTAGCTTCAATTGACTCATGAATTCAACCATTAAACTTGAATATCAGTTATAAATAAGTAGTGATAAACTCACTTCATGTTGTTTGCTTGTGTCTTTCGATTGTTGTTTAGGACTTCAATTGATTAGACACTTGTTAGAATATGTGAATCTTTTGCGGATTGCCTCGATATGGCTTTGAGTCACATATATCAACAAAAGACTGATCAATTGCAGTCCTAAACAACAATCGAAAGATACAAACAAACAACATCAAGTGAAGTTAAACTTCACCTTATTACACCAACTCGTGGCTATCAGGACTCAGTAGTTAAGTAGATAACGTAATGATGTTTGATACGATCGATAGTGGGTTCAAGTCCCAAACTGAACATTAACTGTGGGATATATGTAGATCCAGTTGACGAAGCTCAAATAGGACATTACTATTTATGAATTACAAATCATCGAAAACGGAATTAAAGAAAACAAAAAAAAAACATTTAACTGTTAACAATGTAAATTACTTACTTTCTTGAATGAATCCAACTATTCAATAGAATGATCTTATAAGTTTTTCAAAGAATCATACATAAATTCTGGAACATATATAGATCATATACATATGCATAAAAAAGAAGTTTACACTGATATTGCAAAACTGTAATTAAACATTTCCATTGTTATATATATATATACATGTATATATGTATATCCATAGTAATAGTGTTAATGGATTTCATGTGACTTAATACCATGAATAATCACTAATTTAATCATAAACAATATTAATAATACATTCTTATTCTTGTATTAATTACTGTCGATCATTTAAAAGAATTCAATTTGTTTTCAAGAGAATCGAAAGAAGAAAAAAAGTGTTTTTTTTTTCTATTTTGTTGTTGTTGTCGTTGCTGGTGATCGACTGATTGATTGATTCATGTCGGGTTCTTATTCTCTTTTTTCTTTCTTTCTTTTTTCTTTATTTATTTAGTTTTTCTATCTATGAAATCTGATGTTTTCTAGCTATAATTTTATAAATATATATATATATATATATATATATATATATATATATATATATATATAGCTTTTTCGTTAGTTTTGAATGATCAATAATGAAGTGTTTACTTGATAAGTTTATAGTCATTGAATAATTTAATGATACTTTATGGTTCCTTTTTTAAAGTTAATTGATTGAAAACTCTAAATACTGATTTTATATTATTTAATGATTATCACCGGGTAAGTAATAGTGAGGTTCGACGCAGGGTATTAGGGAATGATGGTAAATCAGTTGATGAGGTTGTGACCCTTCATCGACTGAGATGGTTGGGCCACGTGTTACATATGCCTGAACACCGATTACCACGACGTGCAATGCTAACCGGTGTTGTAGATCGTTGGAAGAAAGTTAGGGGTGGCCAAACCAAAACGTGACATCAGTGCTTGAAGTCACTAACTTGGTAGATGCAGACCACTTGGTTGGGGTCCGCGTGACTATCGTAACCAATGGTTGGAGACTCTGGGTGACATGGCTCAGAATCTATCACAATGGTGTAGGTGTATGCACTCTATGTCTTCCCTTAAACTATGAGATTAAAATCGCTTCATATCTTTTTTTCTACTAACTAATTCTTTCTTCCTTATATGAAATTTTACCCCCTCTGAATCAACTATTTTTATGAATCCGATGTTCATCTTGTTGTTTTAATGAGGTGAGGCAACTTGGACCGATGCATATATGTGCCTGGTCCTACGTTGTAGCTGACTGACTGACTGACATTATTGATGCAAATGATGCTTATATTTAGAGAGAGGTTTTGTGGATATTAGAATCATTTGATAGTTGAATTCATGAGTCAATTAAAGCTAGACCATCGTTGAATGTCAACTCAATGGTCTAGAGTTTAAGTGTTTGTGAGTTAAACCGACAGGTCCTGGGTTCGAATCTCGTGAGGCGGGATCGTGGATTTGCACTGCTGACGAGTCCCGCAGTAGGACGAAATGGTCATCCAATGCTTTCAAATTTTCCATGGTGGTCTAGCTTTAATTGTCTCATGAATTTAACTATTAAATTAAGAAATTGATGTTGTTTATGGTATCCAGTGTTTTGTTTAGAGTTTTTTTATCACCGCTGTTATTCATAAATACAAATAGCTTTTTATCAACTTATTCAAACTAGCGTTAGATATTGTTAGTTGAACTAGTGACCGAATTATTATTAAGGCCAATGAAGTTGTTACTGAATGAATTTTTGAGGTATAAATATAATCTTGGTTAGCATAAAACGTTCTGTACATACTACAGACTTCTCTTTACTCATAGGGTAATTAAAAGAAGTTTTGCAGTAAGTGAATGACCCTTGAACAAACACGAGAAGCTTTTCATCAAATTGAACATATAGAGAGGAAAATTTTATAGAGAAATATGTTTACCTTACTTTGATGAACGTGATAACCGTAATGATAATAGTGGAATGGACTTATATTTTATGTAAACATTCCAAAAAGTAATGTCTCAGCAATCGCTAACTATCTATTTATCAATATAGAGTTGTGGAGATTATTAAGTTTTTGATTGAGATCATAAACTGACTGATGTTAGACTACCATTGAAAACTTGGAAGAAACGGCCATCCAGTGCTTCAAGGTATTCAATGGTGGTCTCACATCAACCAGTTCATGATGTCAATCAAAAACTATATATTTATCGGTTCTGTTGACATGATTAATACATATAAATTTGATTTAACTGGATTTTCATTTTCTTCGGTTAGGTGAGGAAGATTGATTGGTTAGATTTATAATTTATGGATGACCTTTCAGTGACGCTAAACCCTAAATCTTGATAACATCGTTAGCGCTTACTTTATGTAAAAGTCTACATTGTCCAGAATGATAATTAAAGCTTAGCAATGAACCTAACAATACTAAAATCATCCATCCAAGCTATAAAAAGAAAATTTTCATCCATGATTTAAAACTCATGATATGTGTATCATGAACTCAGTAAAAGTATCATTGTTGAAGTCTAGATAACTTTAATGCCAACATATATTACATCTAATTTATATTAGTTTCAAAAGGGGTTTTGTGGAATATTATGGTAATTCTTAATAGTTGAGATCATGAGTTAACTGAAGCTAAATCACCATGGAAAACCTGGGAGCACTGGACAGCCGTTTCGTCCCATTGTGGGGCTTCTCAGCAGTGTACATCCACGATCCCACCTTACGAGATTCAAACCCAGGACCTATCAGTCTCGCGCGCGAGCGCCTAGTCACTAGACCACTGATGTGGTCGACATTCAACGGTGTTAATGTCTAACTTCGACTAATTTCTATTAATGGAATCAATTAATCTATAATATAGACAATTAGATTTCACAAAAAATGTACATTGAATCAATTTGTCACATTTTATGATAAATAGAGTGTATGAAATGATCAGTGGAATGAAAATCAAATAAACAGAACAATGATCGTATGTTGTGTGTTACTGATGTCGATAGATATAAGTAGTATGTATCATCATTCAAAGCAAAATACCTGGTGGTAGATGGCTAAGAAGATCTAAGGAAAGAGAAAGAGAACAGAGAATATTTGATGTGGAATCGAAGAAACAATCAACTCTAAGTCAAATGATTGACATTTTTCAAATGAAGTATTTACAGTAGAGTTCTCAGATTTTACTAAGAGATACTGTAATTTTGTATTCAAATACATTCGATTGACCCACACTTGTGTTCACGTTCACCACAATAGTATCAATTAAAGTAAAAAAAATGTAGTCAGTTAATTTAACTAAGAATGAATAGGGATGGTGATACGCGTCAGATAAATCACCCAGTTTTTTTATACAAACATAAGCTAACTTCAGAAGTCGATGTAATGTGAAAACAGTACTTATCAAGCAACGATTTACTTCATTAAAATAAAACTCTTCAACCTGGAAGCATTTATTCAATATTTTCCCGATTTTATCTTGTAACTTATCAATCATTTGCATATCTATTGCATATACTCAGAATCTGAATATACATCAATCAATCATAGGTGAGACTATAATTTATGAACGATATTGGATCGACGCTAGACTGACCTCGAGACCGTCCACCTAGTAACTAGGACCAAATGAGGGTTAAAAAGTAGTGTGAGGGAGTAGGATTATGATTTACTGTTGATGATTAACGTTAGGAATTAAATTGAGGATTTTCATCACGAACTGACATCAGTTATAATGCCAAAACTCTATTTAGTCAAATGAATGAGCGAATTTCACCCAAATATCGGGATTTGTTATCTTATACCTGATTAATTCATCCATTATAGAATGTTTTGGTAAAATATATATTAAATACCTAATTTGCACGTCTTCCATCAGTTGTCTCTTACAAAATTCTTCATCCCTCCATTCCTATTTTTATTGCATTTACGATCTGTTTACATTTCTGTTCTCTTCAATTCGATCTTCTCAACCTTCTGTTACCAGACATTTCACTTCTGATTAGGTGTTACATACTACTTATATCTGTTGACATAAATAGCATACACAACAATAATAATAGTTATCAGAAGGGGTTTGTGGAGATTTTAGAAATTTCACAGGTGGAAATCATGAGTCAATTCAAGCTGGACCACCATGGAAAGCCTTGAAGCACTGGATGGCCGTTTCGTCCCATTGTGGGACTCCTTAGCAGTGTGCATCCATGACCGCGCACCCTGCGAGATTCGAACCCAGGACCTATCAGTCTCGCGCCGGGCGCTTAACCAACTAGACCATTGAGCCGCCATCCAATGGTGCTAATGTCTAATTTCAACCAATCCACGAAGTTGCGCCACCGTGAGATATCAACTCATTGAAGTCAATGGTTTACAGTTGTGCAACTACGTGGATTGGTTGAAGTTAGACATTAACACCGTTGGATGTCTTCCGGCTCAGTGATCTAATGGTTAAGCGCTCGAGCGCGAGACTGATAGGTCCTGTGTTTGAATCTCACGAGAAGCGGGATCGTGGATGCTCACTGCTGAGGAGTCCCATACTAGAACGAAACGGCTGTCCAGTGCTTCCAGGTTTTCCATGGTGGTCTAGCTTCAAATGACTCATGATATCAATAAGAATAATTACTAATCAATAAATCAGATAGAACTAATTCCAATCTTGCTATTATTGCACAATTATCTATCGTTTTCAGTGAGTATATTACCCTAGACTTCTATACGGTTGATCATAACTAATCTGTCCTTACATAATAGATGGATTGAATCCAATAGCTAATTTCTAGTCTAGTTCACATGTAATAAAATCGACATAAGTAGTTTCGTCACTATAAGTAAATATAAGTATATATGTATATATCGAACTTGATAAATGTCGAAAAGTATGTCTTTCATAAATTGATTATAATGGATTCATTATAATAGCTAGTTAACATACATAGAATGAAAACATACCTTCATTATCTTAGTGTATTTTGTTGTTTTTTGTTTGTTCATCCTTTTTTATTCTTTAAAATACCCCATAGATTTTTCTGAAAGTAGAACCTTTCATTATGAGAAAACCAACTAGATATTTTATTAGAATTATATACATACATGGCTATATATAAACTATGCTATGAATACACCTAAATATGTCAGTTAAAAGTTGCCTTGATGAGTAGGTAGGTTATAAATTTGTTTAATAGTTTATAAAATTTATCAAAATCTATATAAAAGTTATATTATAATTGAAATAAGAAGAAAGGAATATGATTGTTAGATCATACTGTGTTGTGGGTTAATATCTAGTAAGTAGTATATAACGGTGGTCAGGTATAGAATGTATTTCAGTAGAAGATCGAAAAGGAAAGAATGGGAATGGAATGCAGTTGGTATGAAAATGCAGGAACAATGAAATTTTAGACAATGGACTGATATGTACAATCGAACAGTCAAATTTGAGACGATGGATTGATATTTCATAAATTGATTATTTACTATATGGTTCTCAGATTTTATTGAGATGCTACAGATGTAATAAATATGGTCTTTTTGTGAGAGATTGTATGGAGAGTGAAGATTTGGGTCCAAAATGCTATAAATGCCAGGGTTATGGCCATATAGCAAGTCGATGCAACAATAATAATAGTTATCAGAAGGGGTTTGTGGAGACTTTAGAAATTTCCCAGATTGAAATCATGAGTCACTTGATGTTAGACCACCATGGAAAACCTGAAAGTACTAGACAGCCGTTTCGTCCTATTATGGGACTCCTCAGCGATGCGCATCATGTAATTATCGAAAGATTCAATCATAAACACATTTATGTAGTACAAACTGTTTGAAAAAGGTCATGAATCACAGTTACAAGCATTGCAAAATTCATTCATTCATGCGAAGCTAAAGATCACACTTTTTCTCACTACAGCTGATATTCATCCATGATTAAAACCTTAACCTTAATCCTCTAATTCATAACCTTAACTAAGAATAATAAATAGACTCTGAAAGATGTTTCTGGGTCGTTTCAAAGGTTCAAAAATATGGATAATCTATGTAAATTAAGACAAGTTCATGTGTAGTTGTTGTATTCCGATTCATAGCTAACTGTAGAAGATATTATCGTTTTATTTTTCTCAAACTATTCATTTATCGAAGCCATTTTCTTATTGACTAAGAACTGGTTGGAAGTTCATCACAGTTGTTTTAATCTCGTCCCTGTTTATCTGTCATTCAACCCGTTAACTTACCATAAACGTGAATTCTTAAATTTATTATATACGCCTATAAACTTACTTTTTTGTCTAAATATCAGTGGTACTGTCTTTTTATTAAACAAGAAAACCATGACTAGTTCGTGATGTTTAACCACTATCTGGTAAAATGAAAAAACCATACGTTCAATCCTTTATTTACAAAATGTTCATTAATTGTTGTAAACTTCATCGTTCCTTCATTTCCAGACCCATTACTCTCTGTTCCAATTTTCTTCTATTAGGTCTTTTTATCTTCTGTTGCCAGGTTTTCCGCTTTCAATTGGTGTTACATACTACTTATATCTGTCGATATAAGTATCATACATTACATAGTGACTGGTATTATGTTCGCCTATTCTTTAGCGCTGATTAAATTCTATCGATAAAGTTGTAATTTGGTAACAAGTTTAACTGACTACATTTTTCTGTAAGGTGCTTGTACATAGTTGACACCAAAACTCTGGATCTAGGTTACATACAATTTAGTACTCATTTGTATAGTAAATTTTGTAACTTGAATTAAATATTACATTGAAGAGGACTTGTCAAACTTCAATGATCATAAACTATGTCATTTAATTGTATATTGTTGTTTTCAGTCTCACTACTCCTTTAATTTTGTCTTTATTTCCTACATGCAGACACATAATAAATTCAGCTAAATGTATATTTTGTGTGCACTGATGAATAGTGGCTAGCAATGGAATCCAGGACGAGCGTTCCGTCCTATTTGAGACTCGTCAGCTGGATGTACCTGCATCTCAGAGTTCATGTTCACTCTGGGACTCGAACCCAGTACCATTCGTGTCAAACGCCATCGCGTTATCCACTCAGCTACTGAGACGAAACTGACGTCCTGGATCCCACTGCTAGCCACCATCCATCATTGCTTACAAAAAGCTTGTGAATTAAGGCAATATCAAAGCATACGCACAGTATGCACATATGCCAATAACAAACTGATCAATTCTAGTCTTAAACCTCAATGGGAAGATACCAGCTAAACAATGCAAAGTGAATTTGAATGTATATTTAATATCATTTTATGTGTTCTACATCATATCGAATTTCTTTCCTAATTGAATGCGTTAAGTTTCGTCAATTATTTGTTTCCATACATTTATTGTAGTCTCGATTATACTTAGCTAACGGATAAAATGCTTTGAAGTAGAATAACAGTTGTTTTATCTTGATAAGATATTAT